CTGCTTGGACAAGCAGCAAAACATATCAAACTAAAAAGTCCAGTTGCCATGACTCAACTTCCAGATAATTCCACCTGGATGACTGGGAATCTTCTTCAACATAAACCTCAGGATGAACGTCCTGGAATCCCCAGGATGAGGGAAGACCAGGAATAAGAGGGAGAGAGAGAATATCTGTTTTCGGGAATCGGCTACATCTGAAAAGATAGGTAAAAATACTTATATAGGAATGTTGTGTTAAATCTAAACTTTATTTTCCAGTGTTGTCTATCTTCTCTGTACAAAGTATCTTGAATGTGTAATCTTGGCTTTGCATTCTTTCAGGCTAGGCAGGAAGACACTAATTTTATACATAATCTTGGAGTCTGTAATATATTTCAACATAGACTGTCTTGCAAGGAAAAAGCGTTCATTTATAGCAGACGTGCAACATCATGTGGTCCGCCTGAGCATTGTATTTTTGTAATTTTTCAGGCTTTTATCTTTCCCTGATTTATCTGTGTCCCTGATTTGTTAGTAATGCTTGTTTTTGTTTATCCCTTTTTAGAGTGGTCTGTTTCCTCAGGAGGAGGAGGAGGAGGAGAAGGGCTTAACCTCTAACCAAACAACTCTAACCTACATAGCCAGGAGGTTCACACACCTGTATGTTCTGAAGCAATATACATAGAGAGAGAGTATATATATATGAATATGAGAGACTATGATATTCAATGCCAATTTTGTGTAACCTAAATTAATACACCTTGAAAGAATTTCCTTTTAAGCAATCTCATTATTTTAATGTGATAGTTTTTGCCGCTGTATTACAACTTACAATGGAAAAGGTGTGATAAATTGGATTGTGACAGTGAATATCCACTTTCATTCACTTATCTTCTAAATTTCAGATTATTTGGGTTAGCCAATTTTAAATTTGACTTTTAGCTCTGTGAAGTTTGGGGGATAGGTGATATGCAAATCTTTACAATAGGTAATTTGGAAATGAAAAGAGGCTGGAAAGATTAGCTGTGAGCACCCATACAAACCCTACAAGCAAAATATATAGCTGCAAATTTATTGTATGTGATTTCACATGATACAGAACAATCTCTCTTAAGACAACTATATTGATAGTCTAACATCTGTTTTCACAATATAAAGTGATGGAGCAGGTCAGCCAACCATGGATTTATCTTCTGTGGAAATCTGAAAGAAATTACATTTTAAAATAAGTTCAGTCTGTAAAAGAATATGAGCACTTAAAATAGAATCCAATCACACGTCCATGTCACAAAGTACCACTATTTACTACGGGAAGCCCTGATGAGAGATCACCTTGCATACCAAGATTGTAACATGCATATGAAAGAGATTGGCCTGGTGGTCTATAATGTTAAGCTGAAATCAAACCACATTATTCCTTAGCGTTATTTGTGACTGAGGCCAGTGGTTCAGCCCCTTAATTTTAGGACAGTTCTAGCAGAAGCACTACTACAGAATATAAGGATTCATATGTAAACAGGCATAAATACTTTATGTGAAGTAGTTCATAGCTCAAACAAGTAATCTCAATAAAGGACAAATTGGGAACCCCTAAATTCTATCCATCTGGGGCCAGATTCAGCCTATGTTGCCTTTAGAAATGGCCCATATTATCCACAATTGGTTTAGGAGAAAAAATCAACACCAAAATAAGTAAGTAAATAAAGCCGCCTGCAAATGAAGCTCGACTCCTGCTGACCTAAACATCTCCGTGTAGAATTCTTAGCTACAATATGGCCTAGGAGGTTTTAAAACTCTACTTTCTGCATACTAAAGCTACTTTCTAGGCGAACATGCAGGACAAAACATTAACTCACCTAAATGAATATGAGTATAATAGTATAATCTGTTGAGAGAAAACTCTTGTTTTTAAACAAAAGTTGTGAAGTATAAGACACAGCCCGTTGCAATGTTAGCCAAAACAAAGAGAAGCATAGCATTGCCTACAGCTCCTGATGAACAAGTCAGGCAGCAATACGAATAATACCTTATAGGTTGGATTGTTCGTAATGTGTATGATCATATTAATCATACAGATGACGCTGTTAAAAATGATCCCATGCAGGACAATGACGGTGCACCAGAAAAAGTGAGAAGGAGCACGCCATGCATGGAAATTGCCACAGGGAGGTAAATAAGCACATAACAACTCCGTTTCAAGCTGCATCCTATGGCAAAATTTCCAAGAGCTTAATGAAGGACAGAAAATGTGTTACTATATGAATAAAGAAATACTACGGTTACACATAAATAAAAATCACCTTCTAGTGGCCTATTTACCACCTGCATCAACTGTTCTGCCATTTCTGGGCTGAAAATGAATAATAATGATTGTGCTTTATAGCATTCCTTATGAAATACAAGTGAAAAAAATATTTTGGTACCAAGTTTCCAGTAAAATTAGGCACTAGGTAAGCTGTAAGGAAGACGGGCCTATGCTTCAATTAATCCCTCTTTCACTGCTCCTTTGCTTATTCCCCCCCCCCCAACATATTTATTCCACTGAAATCATGAGACTTTCATAGTAGGTCTGAACTAGTATAATGAAATGTCTATTTTTGGCTTCTTCCTAATTCCAAAGAAGTAGAGACTCTGTACTAAACATAATTATATTTTGCTATCATGCTCAGAATGATTTTAATTTTTTTTTTTTTTTTTTGCAGAGGCTACTTTATTCTTCATCAAGCTTTTTAATTAGTACAATTTCCTAACTATTTAATTTTGGGGAACAGAAATTTATTTGTGTGGGAGTTTATTATAGCCTTGTTATAGCTTCAAATATTGTCTCCATTTTTATTTTATAACAAATGGATTGTAAGTCAAAGTGAAGTTTCTTCTTAAAAGGAAACAGAAAAATTAGTACCCTGAAAAGAAAAAAGGGTCGTCCCAAACCATCCAAACCTTCCTGTAAAATAAAATAAATAAGAGAGATTTAACAAAATATTTCAAAACTCAGTATAAGTGAACAGTTCTCAAATGTTATACTGTGTGTGAGAGAAGTATGAGGTGGTAAGTCACTTCAAGGGGATTCAAGGTTCCAGAGACAAAGACAATTCTGTAGGGAGTCAAAGCCCAAGAAATGTTCTTCCCAGCAAGAGAAGTTAACACCACGATCATCTGCAAGTCACCTTAAAACAATACCCAAACTGCTTCAGAGTAGTGATCACAAAGCCGCAGTGAAAAAATGGTACAAAGCGTGTGTATATATACATACAAATATGTATGTAGACACACACGCATATACATTTGAATTTCTCTACAGTAGCATTACACAATTTTCTACCAACTAAGGGTAGAAAACTTGACCTTTGAGTGACATGCAGGCTTAAAAAATGGTCAGGACCAGAACAAAAACTAAGTTTATAGTTAATATAATTGCTCCCTGTGTAGCTAGTATTTTTCCTTTCTGACACATTAAACATTACAATTTGGTGACATTTTGAAGGAGTTGTGGAGGCTGTAACCCAGGGCCATAGTATTTGTGCACACAACAATGGGCTACATAATATAATAGATGGTATAAAGGTTCAGAGGAATCACACAGAGTACAATAACATGGTTCCCTGCTTGTTGAGAATTGGCAATAATACTTATATATAATAGTAA